GTTCTCGCCGGGGGTCCTCATTCCCTTTGTAGGGAAAGCCCTGAAAGGGGTCCTCTCAGGTGAAGGAGGTTAATAAGGCATTCCGTGCGACATGATATGATGGAAAAGGAGGGGTCAGAGATTGTCTAAAAGAGTGATTCTTATGGGTTCTGATGGAGGACGGTTACGGAGAGTGATACATCACTGATGTGAATCCTTTTAACAATCTGTTTCCTGCACACACATCCACTTGGGGATTGAGCCTGCAGCCCAAAACCATTTTTCTTGTCCTGAATTGAAACAGGGGAGCCCCTTGGTGATTGTGAAGATGCTCGCCCAATTGAGCCGCACCCAGCCAGGCCAATAGATTAATGTTTTAAAAATCGAGGAGGGTGTGTATGCTAAATAGCATTTCAGGTTGGCCCCGTGTGTTTGAGTGGTTAGAGTGTTGGTTTGCACATCCAAGAGTCGTGGGTTTGATTACTGGTCAAGGGCATGTACCTGGGTTGCATGTTCAATCCTCAGCCCTAGTCTGGGTGGATGTCGGAAGCACCAATCAATTTGCCTCTCACATCGATGTTTCTCTCTCTCTCCCTTCCACTGCCTCTAAAAATCAATGGGGAAAATCTCCAGTGAGAATTAACAAAACAACAACAATACCTTAGCATTTCAGAGAAATCGGGATTCTCACATCCCAAACCAGTTGCCAATGGGAGGTTCCTTTTAAATTGAAGCTAAGTAATTTACTTTTCACGTATTTTCCCTTTAGTGGTTGTGCAAATGTTCACTCCACTTTATTTGACACAGTGAGAATTCAGAGCAGGCTCCCCCCAGTTCTGACTTCTGTTGCCCATGTTCTGTTGACCAGATGTGAGGGCAGGCACAGTTGTGTGGGGACCTGTGTCGGCAGGTGTGCGGGTCAGCCCTGCACACCACCCCACACAGGGCTCTCCTGTGGCTGCCATGAGACCAGAGTCTGCAGAGGGCTTTGTAAATTCAAACCCACCAGCACATCTCTCCAAGAGTGTCTTAGCCCGTTTCTGCCTTTCCCACTGTGGTGACAACATTCTACCGGAAGCATTCAGTCTGGGGGCCGGTCCTGGGCAGGACTGTGCTTTGGTGTGTTTGCCCTCAAGATCTGCTCATTTCTGGGGAAAATCACACGCAGCACAGAGAACTCCAGGGCAGAAAGGAGTATTGGGTGAACTCTGGTTTGTTTCCATCAATTACAGAAAACAGATCTCTATTTCCTAACGGATCTGTCCTGGAGTGGACTCTGAGGAACATCAGAGTCATGGACTTCCAGGCTTAGGTTTGGTTGTGTGAGACTCAGGGTTCCCCTCACTGAGTAACTTAAGATTAAAGATGAAATTTGGACGGAGATTCTTCTGGCTTGTTTTTACCTGCACCTCAACATGAAGCTCCATGACACTGTTAACGGAGAGCTGGTTTGAGCAGTCAGTCACGTGCCTGCAGCAGTGAGGGGCAGAGAGGTGGAGGTGTGAAGCGTCCAGCAGCAGAGCGGGTGTGCGGCACTGCTAGTCACACTGCTCACACTGACAGCCCTCAGGTGTTCTCCAAAGGCTGTATGTTGCCATGTGAGTTAGAGGGGCAGCTCAGAGGTTCCACTCACAGTCGAGAGAAGGCCACACACTTTCAGGTGGAGATGACCTGAAATCCAGGTCCAACCCGAGGTGGTGGACACAGAACCTGTGGGGATCACTAATGTCCAAAACTGTGCGTGGCCCCCACCTCATGCCTCCAGCTTGAATCTTTTTATCATTTTGATTTTCCTGGTCATGAAGTCAGTGGGCCACCAGTGGAGGTTGAACTTTGCCAAAGCTAGGAGGGCTACAAAGAAATAAATGGCTGGCCCTGGCCGGTGTAGCTCAGTTGGTTGAGCATCACCCTGTGCACCAGAAGGCAGCCTGCACAGTTCCCCGTCTAGGCACGTGCCTGGGTTGCAGGCTCGATCCCCAGCAGGTGGTATGTAGGAAGCAGCCAATAGATGTATCACTCACATCGATGTTTCTCCCTCTCCCTTCTCTTTCTAAAAATTAATTTAAAAAAACGTAAAAAAAGAAAAAGGGTGGGTGAGATGGAGGGGGCCAATGGGATAAAGGGGACACCTGTAATACCTTTCAACAATAAAGATTTAAAAAATAAAGCAAAGAAATGCCTTTCTAGTCGAGGTATTGGACTGTTGTTCCCCAGCAGTGTCCTTGTGAGGTGTGGTGACCGGTCTGCACTACTGTGGCCATGCTGTCACCTTGATCCCTCATCTCATGATGGCCCCGAAGAGAACCTACCTAGAGACCCTCTTGCGAACCAGCCTCTTCACATGTCAGGGCCACCGTTCTGCGGCCCCCACAGGCTGGGAGCCTCCCTGCACCACGTGGGGCAGGTGGGGAGAGAACTCGGGTTCCCTGTCTCTGAAGGCTGTCAGCCCAAGTCTGGTGTGTCGGTCTTTAGTGAGCAATTCAGGACTCCATATAAATTACCCAGTCGTGGTGGTACATGGTGGTTAAGCAAAGTGCAAGCCCATATTGCTTCTGATAATGCAGCGGTTCTCAACCTGTGGGTCGCGACCCCTTTGGGGATCGAACGACCCTTTCACAGGGGTCGCCAAGACCATCCTGCATATCAGATATTTACATGACGATTCCTAACAGTAGCAACATTACAGTTATGAAGTAGCAACGAAAATAATTTTATGGTTGGGTCACAACATGAGGAACTGTATTTAAAGGGCCAGAAGGTGGAGAACCGCTGTGATAATGGATTGCCTTGGCCAGGCCATCTAGCTGTTCTTGGTCTTTCTTAGAGTGGAGACAGCTCTGGAAGTGGCCCCTCTGCCTGCGGAGCAGGGGTCTCACCCGTCGCTCCTGAGCAGCTTAGTGGAATTTCTCGGAAGTTCTGCTTTATAATGTTTTGCACTGACAGTGGATTTTTCGTGAAGTGACCTATTCGTAAGTCTTAAAAGTTTGTTTTTCTTCTTCGCAGCATCATGGCCAGCCCCAGGACCAGGAAGGTGCTAAAGGAAGTCAGGGTGCAGGAGGACAACAACGTGAGCCTGTGTTTCTGTGGTGCTGTGGTTCGGGCTCCTGGCTTCCCGGAAGTGGCTGCAGCCTCAGAGCTCACCCTCCCTGTCTGTCGGCTTCCCAGTCAGCCTCTCCTCTGCTCCCTCTTGGGGCCACCCATTGGGTCTTTGGGGTCCCTGGGCTCTGGGGTCGCCCTGAGCCACCTGGGCAAGTCACACCTGACCCTCTCCACAGGTGTGTTTTGAGTGTGGTGCGTTCAACCCTCAGTGGGTGAGTGTGACCTATGGAATCTGGATCTGCCTGGAGTGCTCGGGGAAGCACCGCGGGCTCGGCGTGCACCTCAGGTCAGTGCCTGCTCCCGCTGCAACGCGGCTCCCAGAGGGCGCAGCACCTCTCGGGAGCTCCGCGTGCCCTCGGAGCCTGTGGCTGCGCTTCTGTCACAGGAAGCACACGTGTCTAATCCACAGTTTGGGGGCTCTTCAATGCCAAGCACTTGATAACTAGTTCGATCCTCGGCCTGTAGCTTCGTGCGCTCTGTCACTATGGACAAGTGGAAGGACATTGAGCTTGAGAAGATGAAAGCTGGTGGGAATGCTAAGTTCAGACAGTTCCTGGCGTCTCAAGAGGACTATGACCCCTGCTGGTCCCTGCAGGACAAGTACAACAGCAAAGCGGCCGCCCTCTTCAGGGACAAGGTGAGGCCACAAGCGGGCCCAGGCTGCTCCCATTGGGACTTTAGTGACTCCAGTCCACATACAGAAGGGCATGTGGCCCTGTCTGGTCCACGCCCTTCCCTTCCCCCCTCCCCCCAGGGAGGCAGGTGGCCTGTGGTTAGTAGGGGTGAAGGATGAGCCTTCCTCGCCACCCCTGGGAAACTGGCATCCACACACCTCTGTCCATCTTGGTTAAGATACTCCTGAGGACAGTGGAGCCTGTGGGGGACAGAGAGGTGACCAAGAACTCACCCACACCATTGCAGAGGGAGACCTGGTCTCAGTGTTCACGTAAGGCAGAGACCCTTGCCCATGGCCACTGAGCCCGGGAGGGCTGCATGGGGGGCACAGTAGAGTCCACTGGAGCCAGCACCACCTAGGGTGGCCCTGACAGGCCTGTACTCTAACCCCCTGTTCCCTCGGCAGGTGGCAGCTCTGGCCGAAGGCAGAGAATGGTCTTTGGAGTCATCGCCTGCACAGAACTGGACCCCGCCGCAGTCCAAGACGCTGCCATCCACTGCCTACCGGTAGCCGCTCCTCTGGCCGCTGCTCTCGGCTGTCCCTGACCTTAGCTCGGGGTCCTTGTGCTGTCCTGGTAACAGCTACCGTCTGCACTCTTCCCAAAAGCAGTGGGGAAAACAACCTTTTAGATTGTAAAACAATATAAGCTTTTTTTGTCAACCAGGGAAGATGTGTCTGGAAGAAAACCTGCCCTCTCTACACTGCTCAGGCACCATCCCAGTGCAGATCCTTCTAGAATGTGCCCATGACATGCATGCAGTTCTGTAGGACATGTGTCTCCTGTCCTTTGTGAGGGTCACTCCCCCCAGACTGCAGGCACACTGTGGGTGAGCTGGCCTCATGGTGCTCATCTTGCATCTCAGACATCAGAGGCTGGTGTTCGGTGTGACTGGTCTCAGGAGGCTCCCCACTCACCCCGGGGGTGCCAGGGTCCTCCCCACCTGTTGCCCCTATTGTTAGGCCCTGTCCATAAGGCTGCACCATCTCCCCCGCTTCTTGTCGGCTTCATGAGCTACCTTCCGGATAGAGCTGGAGTCCAGCTCGGCCTCGTTGTGCTGTTCTTAGAGGCGCCCAGGTGTGACCAGGTGGTCCTGACAGTACCTCCCAAAGGCCCCTGTGATGGCCAGCAGGCATCTGCTGCCCTCTGGTGGCCGCACCAACCGTCAGCTCCATTTCAGGGCCTCTGGCCAGCCGCAGAGTTCGACTGCCTCCTCGGACAAGGCCTTTGAGGACTGGCTGAACGAAGACCTCAGCTCCTACCAAGGGTGAGGCCCAGGGCGCTGGGAGCTGGAGGTCTGGTCGCTCAGGCGAGGACTGCCAGCCCCGCTCGGAATGGGGTCTGGAGCGGGTGGAGTCTAAGGGGAAGAACACGCTTCTGTCCCGGGCTCTGCCTGGCCTGTTGCGGGTTGTCCTGGAGCCATCAACTTGCAGTGTTGGCTTGGCCTTGCCATGTGGGCTCCTCAGCCGGACGCAGCAGGAGGGGCTTCAGTGGGCAGTGCGGTGGCTGCTCTGTTTCCCTGTCAGGGCCCCGGAGAGTCGCTACGTGGGGTTTGGAAACACGGTGCCGCCTCCGAAGAAGGAGGACGACTTCCTCAACAGCGCCATGTCGTCCCTGTACTCGGTGAGTGCGCCCAGCAGGGGGCGCCGGCCCAGGCAGCCTGTGCGGCCCTCCTCCTCCACCATGCCTCGTGTGTCGTTCAGATCCAGAAGTTTTCACTCATTTACTTACTTTGACAACAAGCATACATTTCAAGTTAGCAAGGAGCATTTCCTCCAAAGAATGAACATTCTGTGTGGATCTGGCACCGCCCGGCCCGGCCCATGTTGGTCCTCATGCTGCTCTGCTGGCCAGTCTGGGGGAGATGAGGTTTGGTGGCAGAGTCTCTAAGCTGCCCGGCTCTAGCACCCTCTGGGGATGGCACCCTCAGCCATGCATGGTCCCTACCTGCTGAGGCTGCTTCCGGTTGAACCAGTGTATTCCAAGGAAGTAGTCACTGTTTTTTTAAAAAATGGGTGTTGCTCCATCAAAGCATTGATGTGATAGGAACACTTGCAGACACCTGAGGGCCATGCTGGGAGGAGAGGGCTCCTCTGCTGGTGGAACAGGCTCTTAGAAGGGCCAAGTGAAGGACGCACAGGCGGACATGGGACCACAAGGCCGCCGGGGCCGTGTGTGCTCAGAGCTGGAGGAAGCTCTCGGAAGCTGCCCCTTCCCGGCCGTTTCTGTAGGATCCTATCTCAGGCGTGGCAGGAGGCTCACTCTGCCACTTCACACCCCCTTGCCCCGTGCACACTTACTCCAGAGAGGAATGAGCTGCTCAGTAAGTTATTTAAAACCACCTGTTGCCAATCTCAGCTGGGTCTCAGGGCAGGAGGCAGGTTTGTAGTGACACCTACTGGGCAGGAATTTCTTTGGAGAAAGGTGCCCGCCCTCAGAATGTCCTGTTTCGTGTCTTCGTTGTCCCGGCACCCTCAGGGGTTTGTCTCCTTATCTGATGAGTACGTCTCCTGCGCACTAGCCCTCTGCGTTGCTTCGGGAACGAAAGGCTGTGGCGGATTTAAGTCAGATGTTTCTGTTCCTAAATAGTTTCAGTTGGTTTTGGAGGCTTAGGTGGAAACTTGAACTTAGTCAAAAGAGAAGAGGTTGTAGTGCCCCACCCGCCCCAGGACTGGTCTGTCTGCAGTGGGCACCAGGCTCTCCCCTCAGGGCAGGTGGGGGCATCGAGAGCTGTAGGAGGAGCTAAGGCAGGGGCTTGGGCGGGGCCCATGGTGCCACCCTGTGGTCCAGGCCTGGCTCTTCGGTCATTAACATCACCCTGACGGGGCCCCAAAGTGACCAGAGATGGTCAGGCCTCCTCTGGAGGTGGATGGTGCGGTGCGACCTGGGCAGCCGCGTGTGGCCTTGACGTGGCCTCTGCTTCCTTCCAGGGCTGGAGCAGCCTCACCACCGGAGCCAGCAGGTTTGCCTCAGCAGCTAAAGAGGGTGTAAGTGCCATCCCAGCGTCCCCGGGCCCGACCCGCACAGTCTGGCCGGCCTGCAGGGGAGGGAGGAGTCGTGAATGGGAGGGGGGAGGCCCTGAGAGGAGCCCAGCGTTGAGGGGCTCCAGCCCCCGTGGCACGATGCCCTCCCCACCCCCACTGGCACCACCACTTGGCCGTGTGGTCCAGCTGGCTCTCAGGAGGGCTGTACCTGGGAGGTCCGAGCACCTTTCAGCAGAGTGTGTGGGCCAGGCTTTTCTTCCTTCCCTGTTATAATAGTGACTGGGGACTGGGCATCCAGAGGGGGTGGCACCAGCTGGGTTGTGGAAAAGCACATAAAGGTGGGGTTGGGGTGGCACCAGTGGGGGCCCCGTGTCCCAGAGAGCAAGTAGGACAGTTGGCCCAGTGACTGCATGGGTGCCCCTGCCCCCCGCCAGCCTCCCTCCAGTGGGGGCTGGTGTGCTGGGCAGCCTGGCTGGGCCCTTGCAGCCACTGCAGGGGAGCACTGGTGCCTAGTGGCATCGGCAGGCCTGGGACAGCGCCTGTGAGCCCAGCAGAAATGCGGCGGCATCATTCAGGACAGTGTCAGCCTTCTGTTTCCTTTCCAGGCTACAAGGTTTGGATCCCAGGCAACTCAGAAGGTAACAGGAAGGCTGCGCCCTGTGTTCTGTTACACTCCTCGTCTGTCGGGGTCTGGCACGCCCGGGGGTGCCCTCGGGCCCGCGCTCCAGGCGGGGGCAGTGCTGTGTGCAGCCTGGCCTGTGTGTGGGTGTCTCCCAAGTTCACGTCCGCCGTGCTCCTTCAGGTGCCCGCGGGTTTGGCAGGCAGGGTAAGAGGCTGCACCTGCGTAGGCCTGTGGGGCTGGAAAGTCACCCTGTCCATCGCAGCCTGGGTGCTGGGCAGCCACGCGGCCACCGGCAGAGCCCCCGCATCAAGAAGGAGCAGGCGGCAGGCGGCTCCACTGGGCGGAGGAGGCTCAGCGTCACTGAGGCGAGGCTGTGTCTGCGAGCCAGCCTCCGTGGGCCCCTGGGGCTGGTGTCTGTCCCGTGTCCCTGGTCAGTGCCTTCTTTTCCTGTAGGCAGGGGTCTTGGCTGCAGCCTTCTCTTTTTTCAAATCCTGGTTAGTGGTCCCTGCAGTCCCCCGGAGGTGCCAGGGCTCTGGGCTGGCCTGTGCTCCCAGGGCTTGGGGTTAGGACTCATGAGGCAGCGGCCATGGGGCTGTCCCAGGCCCCAAGTGAGGGAGGGGTGGCTTCTCCCCCGCTGCTGGGGGCCCCTGCTCTGCTTCTCTGAGCCCCTACTCTTTCAGCCCCTGAACCCCTCGCTCACATGGTTCTGGATGGTGGTTAGTGGGAGTGGAAAGCAGGGTTCAGCGACAGTGAAGGGGGTTCCAAAGTCACTCTGGGGCCCCGTCAGGGTGATGTAGTGATGCGACTCGAGGTGCTTTTGGGGGTGCCCATGCTGCTCTATTGCCTTGCTCTCTCCTCTGTCCCCACTCGATCCCTATGCCGCTGGGTAAAGTTCTGGGGTTCCAGGCAGCAGCCGGAGCTGGTAAGGCGCCGCGTCCGCGTGTCACCCTCAGCACGCCCTCATCTGCGGGGCCTGTGCTGGGTTCCGCTGTCGCCTGCTGTGGCCTGTCCTGTGTCTGTGCTTACGTGTGCTCACGCTCAGAACTTCTCACTGGCCTGATTGGCTCCTGTTTGGCCCATGCAAGCTGCTTGGGGACCCGCACTTCCTTTGTGACCCAGAATGCAATGGGCACTGATGGCCTGGGATCCACGGGAGCTACTTGGCAAGACTTGCATGGAGTAATTTTCTTGAACCAAACACTCCAAAGGTGTCTCATCCCAGGAGTGAGGTCCTGGCACCCATCCTGAGGCCTTGCTCACCGTCCCTGTCATCCCACTCCTGCCCCCACCTCATCATCTCCCAGCTCTGTCCCCTCCCCTCAGCCAGCTCCTGATGCTCGCTCTCCGTGGCTGCGGGGGCTCACGCTGGGCTGCTGAGGTTGCGCCCCTACACCCTGGGGAGCATGTGAGGTGACCTGCTACTGGCCGGGCTGTCTTCACCAGGCCGGATCCACTGGGCCCTGAGGGGAGACCCTGGAGGCGAAGGCTGGGCAGGGCGGACCCCAGGGCTTGTGCTGTCCCCGGGCCCCTGCCCGTAAGACTGCGTAGCAGGGGCAGCGGGTCCGGCCTCTGTGTGGTCAGGGTGCTCGGGGCCACTTCTACGCAGCTGCTGTGAGTCCCGTATGCCAGGGGACTGCTTGCTGTCTCTGCCCGCAAAACTGGCAGCCGCTGTGCTGACCCTCGTCCTGGGGTGAACATGGTGCCAGGAGCTCCCTGACTTCCCTCTCATGGCGTCTGTCCTTCCTGCAGGCATCAGAGCTGGGCCACAGTCTGAACGAGAATGTCCTCAAACCTGCCCAGGAGAAGGTAACACCCACTCCACATGCCATGCTCTTCTGTCTCCCATGGGCCTTGTCCCCAGGGCAGCTGGTGCAGTGGGCAGGCTGTGTGCCTTGTGTCCCCTGATGTGCTCCCCATGTTCTCCCCATGTCCCCATGCACTCCCTGTGTTTCCCTGTGTGCTCCCCATGCTCCTCCTCGTGTCCCCCTCCCAAGGGGCTGGTAGCACAAAGGAGGCCCAGACTGTGCAGGAGAAGCTTTCGGTGGCTGGGGGTTTAGGGGCAGTGCCCCGTCCTCAGGAGGTGGTGGGAGATGCTGCAGTGTTAGCCTGGCGTGGGGTTGGGGTCAGCTGCTGTGGGGGGTGCTGTCCTTCGTTAGGAACGGTGCTGGGCTCTGTCTGTCCGCCCCCCCTCCCCTCCCCCCCACCTCCCCGGTAACGACACTGCTGGTCCACGCAGGTGAAGGAGGGAAAGATTTTTGATGATGTGTCCAGTGGGGTGTCTCAGCTGGCGTCCAAGGTAGGGTGCCCGTCTACACGTGGGCACAGCTGGAGCCGGTCTCCACATTCTGACGCTGGCACGGGCGCTTCTGCGCCACTTCTGCGGCCGGGGCCCTGGCCGCTGCTGCCTATAAGCCGGCTCCGTGCCGGCGAGAGGAATGTGGAGACAGCTTCATGGGCGGCACAGGCGCTAACCTGTCGCTTCTCTTCCTTCTATCCTTTTGCTGCGCTGACCGTCCCCTGGTGAGTGTGGCCCCTCTGGGCATGCTGGGATGCCTGTCTCCACCTCCCTGCGGGGGTGGAGCGGGCGTGTGGTTGCGGCCCCATCTCCTGTGCCTGCAGCGAGTTTCCCTTGCTCCTGAGGGCCCAGCCCTCACTGCCCCCCAGCGGCTTGCCTGCCGGCAGACCCTGTTGGGGCGAACAGTAGTGACAGCAGGGATGGCTCTGTGGCTGCCTTTCGGAGCTTGGCCGGGTCGTTGGGCAGAAGGCCGTCGTGGGCTCCGTGTCTGAGCTGTGTCCCATCCCCTTCCAGGTCCAGGGAGTTGGCAGCAAGGGGTGGCGGGACGTCACCACCTTTTTTTCGGGGAGAGCAGAGGACCCCTCGGACAGGTATGCCAGGTCTCCTGTCCTGAGGTGGCCCCTTCCCTGGGCCTTTTCCTCCAGGGTCTCGGAGGCAGTCGGCACCCTCATGGGTCCAGGGCGCTGAGGGCCCCAGTGCAGGAGGCCCAGAGGTGCAGCGGCTGGTTGGTGCCCCTCACCCCTCGCTCCGACGTTCTCCCCTTGACCCGGAGGAACTGCTGCTGCCCAGGGCTGGGGGGAGTCTCACCCCATCCCTGGGGGACGGGCCAAGGCGGGCAGGAGGCCTTCCTGCTAGAGCCCAGAGTGCCGCCCTTCTCTTTCTCTGGCCCTTGGGGGGATCCTGAGGATCTGGTGAAGAGATGGCCGTGCTGGGCCTGGTGGGCAATGCCAGTCCACCCCGATGGGATGCGTTTCCCAGGCCCCGGAGCAGGAAGCCACTGCTTTCTTGCCCAGGTGCTGTGGTGTTCCATTGGTGTGGCTGTGGGGGGTGGGGGGGGGGGCAGCCTTTGGCCTGAGCAGTCATCTGGACAGTGGGGGCCTCTGCATTTTGGGTTTTCATTCCCGTTCCCTCAAGGCACCCTCTCGGCTCCAGCGGGAGGCCTGGCTGAGCCGCACTGAGCCCAGGCTGCCCTGGGGGTCCCCGTTCTCAGGGGAGGTGCCAAGGGAAGGCCAGGCGCTTGGGAAATTGTTGTTCAGAGCCCCCCTCTTTCCAAGGCCCCTGGAGGACCAGAGCTACCAGAACAGCGGAGGGGACAACTCCCAGAACAGCGCCATCGACCAGAGCTTCTGGGAGGCCTTCGGGAGCACTGACCCCGCCAAGGCCCACAGGTCCCCGAGCAGCGACAGCTGGACGTGCGCTGATGCCTCGGCCGAGAAGCGGAGCTCAGACAGCTGGGACGTTTGGGGCTCGGCCTCCACATCCAACCACAACAGCGATGGCGGGGAGGCCTGGGGGGGCGGTGGGGAGGGCCGGCCCAAGACCACCAGGAAGGCAGCCCCGAAGGCCGCTCAGGTGGACGAGGGCTGGGACAACCACAACTGGTAGGCGTGCCGTGCCCGGCCCCGACCGCCGGCAGCCACTGTGTCTGCACTTTGCCCTCTTCCAGCACCTTCCACTTGAGCAGAAACCCGGCCGCAGCGTGGAGACAGGGCCTTGGGCGGGACTCTGGGACTCCATGGCTGCAGGGGTTAGAGGCCGGCTGCTGTCCTGCCCCGACCTCCCCGTCTCCCCCTCCTGCGTTCCGGGTGCCATGGCGGGCAGGAGCTGGCTGCTGTGGGAGCCGCCACACGCACTAATAAACCCTCCGGGGCTGCCTGGGGTCGTGAGTGCTGCTCTGGGTCTAACTTCCTGCCTGCGTTCGCTGCAGTTCTCTCTTTTCGGAGAAAATGCCCAAGGTTTTAGAGACAAATACCGAAAGCAGCACCAGCGCTCCTGTTGCTGTCTGCCCCCAACACAAGGGCTCTGCCCAACCCCCACCCCGAGCCCTGTCAGCGCTTGGACTTGGACTGGCCCTCTGAGCCGAGGTGGCCCCGCCCAGGACACCCTAGTGAGCTCGGGCACAGGCAGTGGTTCTCAACCTGTGGGTCGCGACCCCTTTGGCGGTCAAACGACCCTTTCACAGGGGTCGCCTAAGACCATCCTGCATATCAGATATTTACATTACGATTCATAACAGTAGCAACATTACAGTGATGAAGTAGCAACGAAAATAATGTTATGGTTGGGGGTCACCACAACATGAGGAACTGTATTAAAGGGTCGTGGCATTAGGAAGGTTGAGAACCACTGAATTAGAGTGTGCTCAGGGAGGAAGGCAGGCCTAGTGCCCCAGCCCGGGCCCATCCCCGGCAAGGCCAGGAGCAGAATGGGGCCTCGCCTGGGGAACCAGTAACCATTTTGCCTGATGGCCAGGCCTTCCTAGCAGCTGGGAGCCTGGGGGAGTGGGCGCATCTGGCCCATCCCCCCCACTGTCCCTGTGGCATTTGGGGGCACTTGTCTCCTTGCACTGTTGACTGGGTCTCCCCCTCCACCTGGAGCTCCTGTCTTTGAGCTGCTGCAGGCTGGCTTGTCCCCAAGGTTGGCACTAGAGCGGTGCCTGTGTGCTCCCCGTTTGCACCAACCTCGCCTGTGCTTGAGGCTTCAGTGCTCTGGGACCATGGGCAAGGTAGGGGTCTGGGGAGGGCCAGCCCTGCCCTTAGCCCACCGCCCCGCCCCCCCCATGTGCCCCAGCCTCCAGCGAATCTCACTTCCTCTAACCTGAGGACCTGTGCTTTCTGTGCCTGCTCCCCCCAAAATACCTCTGCCTGCAACAGCTGAGCCCAGAGAGGCCTGAGAGCACCCAGAGGTCAGGCCTGCCCATCTCAACTACCTGGGCTGGGGTGGGCACCCCATCTAGGCGCTGATTCCTGGGATCAGGTCTGCCAGGCTGTGGGACCATCGGGGTTGGCTGGGAGGGCATGGCTGAGGCTGCAGGCTGCGGAGGGTGCTAGAGAGGCGGCCTGTGCAGATGGGGCTCCCAGGAGGGTGGGTGTGGGCCTGGGCACTGGGACCACAGCATAGACCCAGGGGCTTGAGGTCCTGACCTGGGAGTGATGCTGGAGGACTGGCGAGGGGGGTTGGCTGGCGTGCCTTTGGGGTCCACGCTGCCAGAGAAACCCAATGCCCATCCCCCCATCTTGGTGTCCAGGGCCATCTGTGGTGGCCTTTGTTCCTGAGCCCCTCTTTGGGGCAGACCCTGTGGAGTGAGGGATAAAGGTGTGGGGTCCCCACACCATGAGATGGGGTCCTTTACCCTGGGATCTCTGCCCCACTTAGAGAAAGGTCCTGGGCAGCCGATGGGAAGGGTGGAGAGCCAGGGGCGGGAGGAGGCTGAGCGCTGGGCGGGGCAGTGATGTTGGAGGAAGGGCCTTCATAAGCCCTGGCCTCCCTGTGGCTGCAAAGGACCTGAGCGGACGGAGCAGGTTGGTGACTGGCCTGAGCCACTGGGCTGGGTGGATGAGCTTCGGTCTGAGGGTGACCTGGACCTTTCAGAGAAGCTGGGAGGAGCTGAGCTCCAGAGGTGGGCGGAGGGCTCTGCCTCTGGAAGGGGTCCAACTGAGTCAGGCCAGGTTTCTGGGGAGAGAAGGATCTGCCTCAGATTGCGGGTCAGGAGGGCCCAGGCACCCAGAGCACCCACATAGCCCCCGGTCCCTTCACAGCCTGAGGAGCCCAAGAGCTCAGCCACCCCTGCCCTGGGTGAGGCTGGGCGAGGGTGGCCAAGGGCCTGAGTGTCCTCTCTGCACTGTCAGCAGAGGCTCAGAGGCATCTTGGGAGGGAGGGGTGCCCCCAGAGGGCTCCCCCATGACCTAACCCCACCTCCCCAGGCCTCCCCTCCCCACTGAGAGGCCTGCTCTCCCCAGAGGTTCTGCGCAAACTTGGGTCCTACCCCAGCCGCCTGTTCCTCCCTAGGCCCCTCGGCGCTGACAGTGCCATCCCAGTCTGGTCTAGCGATGAGTGAGTGAGTGAGTGCAGCCACGGGTCAGGGCTGAGCTGGCCAGCTGGCCGTGGGCGTCCTGAGGACGGGATGGGGGCCCAGCTGCGGCTGAACCAGCGTCGGGGGCGGGGTGGCTGGCAGAGGGGCAGCTGACCTCTCGCTCAGAAAGCTCTTGTGGGACCTGCAGACGGGGCCACAGTGGGTGGGGCGAGCGGCTGAGGGTGCAGCGTCCAGGGACGTCTGGAGGGGGCACAGTCCCCGCTGTGGATGGAGAAGCTCTGGCTTTGCCATCAGGAAGGGACAGATGGACAGAAGGCTGAGCGCCCTCTCCTTCCCCAGGCTGAGCACCATGGGTGCCCACGTGCACCCCCACTTAGGGGTCTGCCTCTGGCTGTGGCTGGGTGTTACCCTGGGACTTGGCCAGGAACAAGGTAAGGACAAGGGGTGGGGACTTTCTGGGGACTGAGCCCCCGCCTGCTCTGGCCCCCAGTGGTGGCTGTCCCGGTGGAATTGGTGCTTGACGGCCCAAGGGGTCATCTGTGCTCCTTTGCCAAGTCTAGGCTCCAGCTGGCTGCTTCACCTTTGGCCTTGTGACCTTTCACCTCGCCTTGGGGAGGCTTCTGTTTTCTGGTTAATTTTTTAAAAACAGGTATTAATACCCTGCAGTAATTCTCTCATATTAATGTTCTGTTATTAATTATTCCATGAACACCTTACAAACAGTACAAACCTGCAGTAAGGTGAGCCCTCACAACACGGGCGTTGCTTCTAGCCCCTCCCTGCTTGTCTAGGCGCGTGGGGTGTTACATTCACAGCAGCCTCTCCCTCAGCCCTTCACGTGGCCTGGCTCTGACCACATCCTAGAGGGCACTCACTCCATTTCCCTTTAGGGGCGAACGTCCATGGCCGGGCTGTTTGTGACGCCCCAAAAGGGTCGCACCTTGACTGAGTTTGTCCCAGGAAAGCTGGGTGAGTGGGCGCTGGGATGGCCTCTGCATCTGGGGACTGAGGCTCTGGAGCCGGCTTGGCCCAGAGTGCAGCCCCTGGGGAGTGAGGGCAGGGCCGCCTCCCACTGTCCCAGCTCACCCCGTGGGTCACGGGTCACGGCTGGGACTGCTCTGCTCAGGGTGCGGCTCAGCCAGGCCAAGGGGAGCCGACCTGCTTATTTTTGTGGCAGGACTTCTGTTTGGTTTTGCACCAGGTTGGCGACTGCGCCTGGAGGGGCCCCTCAGTCCGGGGGCTCTGACAGGACCACACCAGGGTGGGGTCGGGTCACTAAGTGCCCCCAGGACAGTGAGTTCAGGACTCTGCTGGCAGCCCCTCACCAGGTCCCTGCAGGATTCTGGCAGACGCTGGGGTGGCAGCCCTTCCCTGAGGATGGCCCTGTGGAGGGGGCGCTGTCTGCACAGCATCCTGTGTAGACCCCCACCATCGGGACCCGAGAGGCAGCGTGGGGTGCCTCCCCAGCATGTCAGAGGCACAGGGACACACAGAGGCTCTTCATGAGCCCGAGCTGGGCCCCTGCTCACAAGGGGCTTTTCAAAGCCCCAGACATTCCTGTCTTTCAGCCTGGAGTTGCAGGGAGCAGCGCCCCCCCCCCACCCCCACCCCCCACCGGAGGCAGGCTCAGCTGCTCCTGCTCTGAAGCGTCATTGTGTCTGCACGGGTGCCCCCATTCCCTGCCCTCCTCCCCGCGCACCCGGCTCTCAGGGGGCGGCCAGAAGAAGCCCATCTCTGTCCCCATTTTCCAAAAATAGCTGCTCTCACGGTGGAACTCCCGGAAGCTTGCCTGGGAGGTCAGGATATGCCCGGGCTCAGGCCACCACTGCTCCCTGTCCTCCAAGCTGCACCCTCACGGCACCCTCACATTCCAGGGCGCCCACCCCATGGGGCTGTGTGAACCTCACTGTAACCTCAGCAGCTGGGGGTCTGCAGTAGCCACACAGCTGCCTCTCCCACCGCCCACCCCCACCCAGACTTGGAGGGGAATCCAGGGAGGTGTAGCTGCCTTGTTGGCTCAGTGCCTGCTGTCGCCTGCGGGGCAGTATGGCGTCTCCGGGATGCTAGCCCAGGCCTCGCTCAGCCTCAGCCCGGGCAGGGGGACACCCCTCAGAGAGCCAGTGGGGGTGGTCCTGGCACCTTGGACCCTTAGGAGGCCCCGGTCCCCCTCCAGCCCTGGGCTGGGCTTCATTTTCTCAAGGTCCCCGCAGTGGGGCCAAGGCCTCCTCACACCAGACAGGTCCCTTGGCCCCCCACAGCTGTTGGGGTGGCTCCTGGGGGTCAGTCCTGACCACCCTGTCCTGTCTCCCCAGCAAATGGCCGCCTGAAGCTAGCTGTGCTGCCCGAGGACCAGCTGCAGATCAAGTGGACGGAGTCGGAGGGGGGTGGCCTTGGCTACCTGGTGCAGGTGAAGCCCATGGCAGGTATGGCCCTGCACCTCCCCACCCGCTGTGAGGATGGAAGGCGGCTGTGCACGGCTGTCACTTACCGACTCTGCGTCTCAGCACCCACGTGGCTGTGTGATTCTGCCCTCCTTGCTGGGGCAGGGCGTGTAGTAGGAGAATCTTACGTTTCCCATGTGACCCCATGCCTGGCACATGCAGAAGGCGCCCAGCCACTGGCTTTTGAAGAAACAGTGGATCCCTGCTCAGCTAGAGCCCTTTCAGGATCCTGCATGTTAGTGGCTGGGAGGGCCTCCTGGAGCAGGAGGGAGGCCGAGGGGTCCTGGAGGCCGGCACAGGCTGGCCACAGAGCTCCGCAGACATGGCCGACGGAGAGCCCATGGACAAGAGTGTCATCACAGGGATGGGCGGAAAGTGATGCGGGGCCTGAGCTCGCCCCTGGGGGAAAAGGGCCGTCCTGGGCCCACAGTCCCACCCCGTCCCACCTGCCCTCTGCTCCCAGGAATAACCCCTTGACTTGGGTGTAGTTTTCTAATATTTTCATGAAGCCAAATTCATCTCCCTCATTTTCCAAATCGTTTATACCTTTCCCAGTTTTAGTGAGAAGTAACTGACATACCTGAGCATATCAGCGCAGCCTACAGGGGGGTTGGTTCACATGTGCTGTGAAAGGACTGCAGTAGCTGCCTCTCACAGTGATCCTCTCTCCAAGATACAGCAAAGTGATAGGATGAAAACAGGATTCACTCTCTGAACATCTTCCCTGTGTATCCTAGACCAGCATCAGCCGTAGTCAGTTTGGTACATTCCAACCCTCGACTGACTTATACCTGGGAGTCTGTCCCCTCCCGAGCCTCCACCTCTGGCAGCCACAGTCCCATCTCCTTCTCTATGAGTTTCTAGGTTCCGCATATAAGTGAGATTGTACAATATTTGTCTTAGACCTATTTTTCTTAGCATAATGCTTCCATGGTCCATCCATGTTCTTAAAGTGGTAAGATTTCCTCATTTCTGTGGTTGAGTAATATTCCATGTGTGTCCATCACATTCCCATAGCCATTCGTCCATGGTTGTGAACAGTGTGAATGACGTCAGCTGTGTGAGCAGCGCTCACTGGACATGGCGCTGTGCCCGCTGGAGACAGTGATCTAGTTTCCTTCGCATGGACACTCAGAAGTGGGATTGATGGGCCTAAAGGCAGTTCCATTTATTTTATTTTATTTTATTTTATCAATCAGCTTGTTCTGTAGATTCTGTTTATTTTTGCTAATCCCCACCCAAGGATATTTTTCCATTCATTTTTAGAGAGAGAGTAAGGGAGGAGGAGAGACAGAGGAGAGAGAGAAACATCAATATGAGAGAAATACATCGATTGGTTGCCTCCTGCACGCGCCCTGACCAGGCTTGGGGATCAAGCTTGCAACCGAGGTACATGTGTACATGCCCTTGCCCGGAATCAAACCCGGGACCCTTCAGTCCACGGGCTGACACTTTATCCATGAGCCAAACCGGCTTGGGCAAGACAGTTCCATTTTAAGTGTTGTTGTTGTTGTTTTTTTAAATAGGTTTTTATTGACTTTTAGAGAAGAAGGGAGAGGAAAAGAGAGATGGAAACATCGATGAGAAGCATCATCCATCGGCTGCCTCATGTCCCTACTGGGGATCGAGTCTGCAACCCGGGCGTGTGCTCTGACCAATCAAACTGTGACCTCCTGGTTCATAGGTTGATGCTCAACCACAGAGCCATACTGGCCGGGCCATTTTTAATTTTTTTATGGACCTCCATACTGTTTTCCACAGTCTGCATTCCCACCAGCAATGCACAAAGCTTCCCTTTTCTACGCATCCTTGCCAGCACTTGTTTGTTGATTTGTTGATGGTAGCCATCCTGACAGGTGTGAGGTGATAGCTCATTGTCGTTTTAATTTGCATCTCTCTGATGATCAGTGACTTTGAGCATCTTTTCATGTACCTGTATGTACTCTTTGGAGAAATGTTTATTCAGGTTTTTGTCCATTTTTAAATTGGATGATTTGGGTTTTTTGCTATTGATTTGTATGAGTTCTTCATATATTTTGGACACTAGCCCCTTATCAGATATGATTTGCCAATATGTTTCCTGTTCAGTAGGGTGTCTTTACATCTGCTGATGATTCTTTTATATCCTCCCTGGTTTTTAGTCCACTCATCCATAAACCCCCTACTGTGGTCGTAGGTGCGTCTTTCTCTGTTGCCTCACCTTTGTTGCTTTGTATGTTGAGGCTGTTATAGGGGCACCATTTAAATCATGTCTTCCTGGCAGATGGCCCTTCACCACGGAGCTTCCTCCTGCTCGCTGGCGTTCTCACTGAGGTTCTCCCTTCTGTGCCATCGTGTTGGTCCAGGGAGATCTCTGTTCACTTCTCTTAGGTGCATCTTCCCAGGAGCGCAGAGCTGGTGTTGCTTTCACACAGTGAGACAGACGTGGCCTTTTCATTGAAACATTTTTTCCAATTTCTATTCCATCGAATGACCCGCAGATTTGGGTTTAAATATTCATCTTCCTACTTTTGTTTTTGTTACACTCATTCCACCTTTGTCCTGTCCTTTCTTCCCACTCTTCATAGCCTTGTTGGGTTTCGTAACTCAGCAGCAGGGGTGCCTGCTGAGCTGAGGCCTGGCGCTGCCCAGCGTGCAGCCCGAGCTGGTGTGGAACTGCAGGCAAAGGCAGTGCTTGCTGAGCTGCTGTGTGAATGCTGCTCGCATGGGCTCTGTGCCATGCTCTCCCTGGGAAAGGCGCTCGGCTCCTGTAGGAGTGCGCGGGGAACAGGGAGTGGACTTTGTTCTCATGTCCAAGGCTCAGACTGCATGAAGTCTGCGTCTAGCACATAGCAGGTGGGGTGCAGCTGGGGGACGGGTCGGGTTGGAGGAAAGAATGACAGACCTCTGGGCCAGAGTGAGTGTGAGAACAGCTGGTACTAACACACCAGGACCCCAGAGTCCCCAAGGCCGGGTGTGGTGTGGGCGCCCAAGCAGGGCAGTGTGTGTGCGGAATGAGGAGGAGCCTGGACACACATGCACACACACATATACACACATAGGATACCCATGTGGGCACACACATATACACGCACTTTGCTGGCCTCACCAGCTCTTTCCAACCCCATCCCAGGGGACGTGGAGCAGGAGGTGATGCTGACCACCAAGACCCCCAAGGCCACAGTGGGAGGCCTGAGCCCCTCCAAGGGGTACACCTTGCAGATCTTTGAGCTCACTGGCTCAGGGAACGTCCTGCTGGCTCAGAGGGAGTTTGTGAGTAAGTCCACTGTCCCCCACATGGGTTCCCGTCTCTGGGGGTGAGTTTGTGGCAAGGCGGCTGCAGCTGAGCCCTGGCAATGCTTCTGGGCTGGCAGCCTAGGCCTGCGTTTGAGCTCTGCTCCTCATGAGGCCGCCAAGGAGCCTCAATTATAACTCCTGACCCCCCACCTGTCTCCTATGGGACCGGGGTCCCACGGAGCCCGGGATGTGCCCTTGCTGGGAGGGTTGTGTGGACAGGCCCACGGCCCCCCGAGGCCTCTGCGCCCTGGTAGGGTCCTGACAGCCACTTGCATCTCTGCAGTCGAGGATCTGAGGAGTCACTCTGCGAGCAGAAGCAGCTGGAGGCCCCTGGGGGCAGCTCTGGAGCCCACACCTTCCCACATGGGGAGCCAGGACCCTGACCCCCGAGTCATCTTGGCCCCAAGCCAAGACCCGCCCGCTCTGGGTGGGTCCAGGTGGGGTGAGGGTAAGTTTCTGGGAGGAGCGGAGTCCAGCGTCTCATGTTTTCTCTGCACGTGGCCAGAACTTTCTTCCTGATAGTTGACCTCATGCTCTCTAGCCACTCTCTGAGGCTCACTCAAACCCACGGGGCAGGTCATTCCCTGGGGTGTTCCCAGGGCCCCAGTGCCTGGTCCCATCCTCCCGACCCCCCAGGTATCCCCCAGGATGAGTGTTTTAGGTGAGAAGTGACAGCTGTGACCTCCCCCAGGATTTCCTGGCAAGGATCAACGCTCCCCCAGAGGCCCCGGGGGAAAGGCCCCTGCTCAGCTCAGCCCAGAAAGGCCCAGCCGCACCAGGACGTCTGTGAGAAACAGAGAGACGCCAGGTAAGACGGCCAGGGCACCAGCGTCCGTGGCTTGCAGGGGCAGGGGTGGTGTGACCTGGAGCAGGTGTGCCGTTTCCTGCACAAGGTCCTGAACGCAGGGCTGTGTCTCCCTCATCAGATGGTCTCACTGCACCTGCCTTCTCAGGAGCCTCCACATGGCCTCTGACCCTGACTCTGGGCTCAGCCTGGAGGTGCTGTCTCTGTGCTAAACTCAGGGGGCCCCAAACCCCAGACAGGGGTCACAAAGCTTTGTCTCCAGAGCTCCTGGGTCCTCAGGACAAGCCCTCAGGCCAGAGGTGAGACCTCAGCCCAGAGCAGGCAGATGGAGCTGTCCGTGGTACTGACCACACCCACTCCAGTCGGTTGACCTGCCTTGGAGCCTCTGGGTGTCAGCCTCTGTATGTGTGCGCGAGTGTATGGGTGTGCGTGCGTGCGTGTGTGAGTGTGTGAGTGTGTGTGTGCCAGTGTATGAGTGTGTGTGCATGAGTGTGAGTGTGTGTGTGCGCGTGCGTGTGTGCGTGTGGCGGGGGGCTGATCTCGAATAGTAGCCCTCACATAGACAAGCACACAGTGGCCAGCCCTGCCAAGGGTCCTGGAGGGCAGAGCTGCTGGGGCTCCATTAGCCTTCTTTGACGGGCTTGGAGGAGCTGGCCCCATGGCCCAAGGTCCACACAGGGTTTCCTGAGTCTGGTGAGATCGAAGCACCTCTGGAACCTGTCCCCCAAGACTCACCAAGGCTCAGCCAGAGGCCGAAACCCTGTGGCCCCAGCCCCTCCACTAACCCAGAGAAGGAGATCCTGGGTGGCTGGAGCCCAGCTCAGAGCAGCTTGGCGTCCTGCAGTGGCGGTGGGCTTCGCCCACACCTCTCCTTCCTTGCCCACCCAGCTGGCCTCCAGTTCCATTGCATGCCTCCCACACCCGCCGACATGATCTTCCTAGTGGACGGGTCTTGGAGTATTGGCCACAGTCACTTCCAGCAGGTCAAAGACTTCCTGGCCAGCATCATCGAGCCCTTTGAAATTGGGCCGGATAAAGTCCAAGTAGGTGGGTTCTGGCCCCATACCCTGAGGCCCCACCCGGTGGTCCTCACAGTCTCTCCCTGGGTCCCATGCAGGCGTGAAGTGGGCCAGGGGCGGGAGGAGACCTTTTTGCTGACTGGTGTGGCCTGCAGCACCAGGCCAGGTGGGGTCCCCAGCTGTACTGATGGGACAACTGGCCCCTGGGGGACATTCTGGTAAATCCTGTGTGGAAAGCAAGGGCTTTGCAAGCATGTGCTCTCCCTAGCGACCCCGGGCGGCCAGGCTGTGTGCGTCCTGCCTCCGCCCAGCACTCCAGCAGCCATGCCCGCACCCGTCTTTTCAGGCCTGACTCAGTACAGTGGAGACCCCCAGACCGAGTGGGACCTGAACACCTTCAGCACCAAGGAGGAGGTGCTGGCAGCCGTGCACAGCCTCCACTACAGAGGGGGAAACACATTCACAGGTCTGCCCCTGCCGCCCTCCCCGCATGCTGCCCTGCGCTCAGCCTCCCTTTACATCCCTCCCAGACTTGCAGGTTTGTGCATAAAACAAGCCCAGTGCCGGGCAGAGCTGGCCCCCACTCTCACCTTTGTAAATGACAAATCACCCTCATTTATTTTTTAAAGTTTTCTTTTTTATTAACTTCAGAGAGAGGAAAGGAGAGGGAGAGAGAAACATCTATAATGAGAGGAAATCATCAATGGGCTGCCTCTTGCATGCCCCCTACTGGGGATGGAGCCTGAAACCCAGGCATGTGCCCTGACGGGGAATTGAGTCTTGACCTCCTGGTTCATAGGTTGATGCTCAACCACTGAGTTCACCAGCTGGGCTCACCCTAATTTCTTTCTGGTCAAAATGTGGTTTCTGGTGGGTGGTTTTGCTGAAAGTGAGTGGCTCCTCTGGTAGACAGAAGCTTCTGGAAGGGGCCACCAGTGGGTGTGGGCATGGCCTTGCTGGAAGCAACTCCTTGGGGGTGTCCCCACAGCACAGTCTCCTCCCTGTTCCCCACACTGGGGGCCTCCGTGCCTTTGAGGGTAGGGGAGGAGGTGTCCCTGCCCTGCAGATGCCCCAGCCTGGAGGGTCCAGGACTGACACGGTGGGCAGAGCGTGGGGCCAATGGCTGGAGGAGGTTTGGGCAGGAGGGTGGGAATGGGTGGTGGAGGCCCTGCACTCGATCCCCGTTGCTCCCAAGGCCTGGCCCTGACCCACGTGCTGGAGCAGAACCTGAGGCCTGCAGCAGGTCCCCGCCCAGAGGCAGCCAAGGTGGTGATTCTCGTGACGGACGGAAAGTCCCAGGACGATGCCTGTGCTGCTGGCCGCATCCTCAAGAGCCTGGATGTCGACATCTTTGCTGTGGGTGAGCAGCCGGATCTCTGCAGAGTTCTCACAGCCGTGCAGGTGGGAGTTTGCATGCCTGCTCCGCCCCCTCTGGGGCTGGAGGGCCCCTGGCCTCTCAGCCTTAGCCCTGAGTTTGCAAAATGGGAGGACCCATCCCTGCTCAGGGGGCTGTGATGGTGCTCACGCCAGGCTCTGAGCACCGCGGGCACCTGCAGGGAGGCTGCAGTCACGGCAGTGGGGCATGGGCCAGTTTGCAGGTCTATAAACATATCCCCGCCCAGCCTCACCTCTGCACCAGCCCCAGCTGCCATCTCTCCCGGGGCCCTGTTAGATGACCCAGTCCTGGGTCCTGTGGAGTCTTGGGTACCAGGATGGCTTCCCAACCCGATGGGTGACTCCGATTGTAAGCGGTGACAAGGCTCCACGGGGGCCCCTTCCCATTCTCTGGGCCCCGTGGGCAGGTGTGAAGAATGCTGATGAGGCTGAGCTGAGGCTCCTGGCGTCCCCGCCACTGGACATCACCGTCCACCACGTGCAGGACTTCCCCCAGCTCAGCACACTGGCCGGCCTGCTCAGCCGCCTAGTTTGCCAGCAGGTCCAGGGCAGAAGCCCACGTCCCGGCCCAGGTGAGCTGTCAGATGGGGACTCCAGGGCAGGTCACCTATGCTTGAAGCCTGGCCAGGCCCTGCCCTCCCCTGTAAGGACTCCCCAAAACCTCTCCCACCCCTTTCCCCTGGCCCTGCGTGGGTCTGCAGCTCCCACCTGGGGAACACCTGTTCTTCCTAGAAGTGGCCACCAGGGGGAGCAGGAAGAGTCTCTATGCCAGCTGCCTGCTGGGGCGCTGACCATCTGCCCTTCTTCCCTCAGTTAAACCGGCAGCAGCTCCTCCAACCCTGGACCCCCTCTCCGCTCCCACCAGCCTAGTCCTGACCCAGGTGACCTCCTCCAGCGTCCACCTGTCCTGGACTCCAGCCCTGCAGCCGCCACTCAAGTACCTGCTGGTGTGGCGGCCTTCTAGGGGTGGTGCCCCCCAGGAGGTGAGAGTGGCCTTCCTCCTGTCCATGCAAAGTCGGGGCTGGAATGGAGACCCAGGGAGGATGAAATCAATGTGGGGAAAGGGTAGAGTGCAGGTGGCCCTGCCACAGCCCGAGTCCTCAGGCCACTCAGGTGGCCAGTGAGCAGCTGTGGCAGATGTGGCTGCTCCTGCCTCCCGTGACTGCTTGGTGCCTAGGAGCTGCTCTGCTCCAGGAGCCCTGGATGGAGCTGGCAGGAAACCAGGACTGACCCCGCCCTGCCCATGTCCACTCGGCCGGCTCCACCCAGGCTCCTCCTGTTGCAGGTGGAGGTGGATGGGCCCAGCACGTCCACGGAGCTGCATGGCCTGGCCTCCGGCACAGAGTACCTGCTGTCCGTGTTCCCTGTGTATGAGGCAGGGGTGGGTGAGGGCCTACGGGGCCTGGTGACCACAGGTGGGTGGGGCAGCTGGCTGTTATGGGTTTTAGTCTTAATCCGGGGTGGGGCACCACTCCCAACTTGCCGTGTGACCGAGGCAGAGTCACTGGACCTCCCTGACCCTCAGTGCCCTCCTCTGAGTACCAGTGATGTCATTTGTGCCATCACCACAACCAGAACAGTACTGTTACTGTTCACATGTTTCTGGAGCCCCAGGCCCCTGCTGGGCCGCAGTGGGGCGCCTGCCCTGAGCCCTTCACCACGCGGTGAGGCGTCCTGCGGCTCTGCACTGGAAGTGCACAGCAGTGGCGTTCTGTGTCCACGGAGTCATGCACTGTCCCCACTGTCAACTTTAGAACAGAAACCCTGCGCCCTTAGCTCTCCCCCGTGCAGCCCCACGCTGCTCCATCGTTGCCATTTCAGGGCACGCGGCATGTGGCCAGCTGCCTCTGGCTTCCTCATGGGCTGTTTACCTCTTGGGGGCCATGGCTCTCCCACCCCAAACAGCGACCCACGGGTGGCTTTCCCCAGAGCTGTGAGCTGGAGACTTGGCCCAGGGTGAAGTTTGGGGAAGAGACTCAGCGTCGTCGTGGGTGCCCGCAGGGCTGTCCTCCAGCCTGTGTCCCTGATCTGTGATGCTTTCTCCTGTGGTGCCCCCTTCCAGTGCCTCTGCCTCCGCCCCAGGCACTCGCCCTGGCCACAGTGACGCCCAGGACCATCCACCTCACCTGGCAGCCCTCGGCGGGGGCCACCCAATACCTGGTGCGGTACTCGCTGGCCTCCCCCAAGGGCGAGGAGGAGGGCAGAGAGGTGCGTGACAGAGGGTGGAGGAGGCAGCTGGGGCCAATGGGGTGGGGAGCGAGGTGAGCAGGGGCTAATGGAAGTGTCCCCCCAGGTGCAGGTTGGGCAGCCGGAGGTGCTGCTGGGTAGCCTGGAGCCGGGCAGGGACTATGACATCTGGGTGCAGAGCCTGCAAGGTGCACAGGCCAGTGAGGCCCGGGGCATCCACGCCAGGACCCGTGAGTGCCCACCTCCCCAGTCTGCCACCCACCAGTGGGCAGAGGCCTTCCATGGGGTGAGGTCCCCGTCTGGTGGCCCCACTGGCCTGGCCATCGCCCATGCTTCCCCCATTCACTCGGGGGGGGGGGGCGGTGGCTGCTGGTCCCTGAAGCCTTGCTGTGTCCACAGCTCCCCTGGCTCCCCCCACACCCTTGATCTTCTCAGACGTGAGCCATGACTCGGCCCGTGTGTCCTGGGAGGGCACCCTGAGGCCGGTGCAGCTGTTCAGGGTCAGCTACTTGTCCAGCAAGGGCAGCCACTCGGGGCAGGTGAGAGCAGGCTGATGTCCTGTGGGGGAACTGGCGTCCAGGGTGCTGAAGTGTCCACGGGGCCCAGCACCTCAGCTGCCCGCCCTGTATTCACAGAGCACTGACACCGTCCCTGCCCTTGGGGGCCCCAATCTGGCAGGGGTTGGGGGGACACGTGTGAAGCAAAGAATGACGGTGAATGACAGCCCCGATGAGGCATGGGGCACGGAGTGCTGTCAGGGGTGAAATCCAGCTGTTGGGCTGTTTGGGGGATGGGGAAGCCCCAGGAGGCCCTGCCATCGTGTGGGAGACCTGCGTTCCCCTTCCCCACTCGGGGCGAGGCCATGGGCTGTCCTGGGCAGTGGGCCGGGGCCTGGTCTCCATCTAGGCAGGGGATGCCTGCTCCCAGCGTGAAGGGTCAGCTCCAGGCCCCGCTCGTATGGCCCCCACCTCGCAGATAGAGGCTCCTGGCAATGCCACCTCGGTCACCCTGGGCCCCCTCTCCTCCTCCACTACCTACACTGTCCGCGTCACCCGCCTCTACCCTGGGGGCGGCTCCTCCACCACGACCGGCCGCCTGACCACACGTGAGTCCTCCGGAGCCGCCAGTGTGCAGTCGGGGCCCAGTCCGAGGAGGATGGGAATGTGGGCACAGCCCCCACATAGAAAATGGGGGTCCCCTCGGCCCCCAAGTGTGACTCGAGCCAGCAAAACCTCTTTAACAGGCTGTGAGTCACCCCAGGGGGTGGCGCAGGCCCTGCCGTCCAGCCTGTCTCCCTGCCCTCTTCCAGGGAAAGTCCCCGGCCCGAGCCAGCTGTCCGTGACAGAGCTCCCTGGGGATGCGGTCCGGCTGGCGTGGGCGGCCGCAGCGGCGTCCGGGGTGCTGGCCTACCAGATCAAGTGGACGCCTCTGGGGGACAGGAAGGCCCATGAGGTATGTGAGAGAGAAGACCCCTGCCCATCCCCAGCTCCTAGGCTTCCACCCAGTGTGGCATCTCGGGACCTGCCTGCCCAGCCCAGCCAGCCCCGTGGGAGCCACCACTCGCAGAGTGGACACCTGCCCCTCCTCTCCACAGATCTCCGTCCCGGGGAGCCTGTGCACGGCCGTCCTGCCCGGCCTGGGGGGGCCCTTGGAGCACGAGATCACCATCCTGGCCTCCTACAGGGACGGGGCCCACAGCGACCCCGTGTCCTTCCACTACAGCCCCAGAGGTGACCCCTCAGCTACAGGGGGTGGCGCCGCCCCAGGGCCCCAGACCGCCTCAGCCCCACACTCCCAGGGGCACCCACAGGCAGTTCCCTAAGGCCCCGGCCTTCCAGGCAGGTGTCCCAGGGTGGCCGAGGGTCCGAGTCACCTGGTGGGCACAGTGCTCACGGTGGTCTCAGAGCTGACCGGGGGCCTGTCTGCCCGAGGTCCCAGGGCTGCAGGTGTGGTACCGGTGTGGGGGGTGGGGGTGGGAGGGAGGGTCATGTGGCAGGGCGTGCCACAGAGCGTGCTGAAGCATGTTGCTGCCTTTTGGCCCAGCCCTTGCTGACCCCCCACTGCCCTTCAGTCAGCCGGAGCCCACCCTCCAACCTGACCCTGGCTTCTGAGTCACCAAACAGCCTACGGGTCAGCTGGACGCCCCCCACTGGCCACGTCCTCCACTACCGGCTCACGTACATGCTGGCCTCAGGCTCCGGACCAGAGAAATCAGTGAGTCTTAGTGGATCAGGGAGCCATCGCCCCTCGTGGGCCTGGGGCCTGGTGGCGGGGGGAGGCGTGGCCACCTGTCTGCCGCGTGCTTCCGAGGCGAGACACAGACGAAGGAGCGGAGGTGCCTAAGCGAGCAGAGGCGCTTGGTGGCGGGTGGCTCAGCAGCTGTGCCCCCAGGTCTCTGTTCCAGGACCCAGGAGCCATGCGATGCTCCCTGACCTGCTGGCAGCCACCACGTACAGGGTCCTGGTCTCAGCAGTGTACGGAGCAGGAGAGAGTGTGGCAGTGACTGCCACAGGCCAAACGGGTGAGTGGGCATGAAACCCCAGGCCCCAGGCAGCCCCCAGCGCCCAGAACTGTGGGGCCACTCAACCGGGGCCCTCCCACCGGCGGTAGGCCCTGTCGCTGCCAGCACAGGGCCCGCGCTGCTGTCGAGCAGAAGGGAATCGGGTTTTTGCGTGAAGACTTCGCTGTAGAGACAGCTGAGACCAGCAAAGCTCCCGCTGGTTGGCCAGGCCCCTCGTCCGCAAGGCCCAAAGCTGGGGACCGTGTCCTTGCCCTCTATCTGTGCCGAGGTCAGGGCAGCCGTGCAGCCCACAGGGCCGCTCGCAGACAGGCAGGCGGGCGGGCGCACAGGCCATGGCAGATGACCAGGAGAGGCGCCCAGCACCTGGCCGTGGTGTCAGTGTTCCCGGGCCCTGCCCCTGCAGGCCAGGCCCACGCGGAGGGACCACTGTGCTGTCTGTGCTGGTGCTGTGGACAGGCCCAGACGCTGGGAGCCGAAGGCCCTCAGGCGCCAGCCAGCCTGGTCACCTCAGCTTCCCTCTGTGTCCCCTCCATGGTCCTGTAGTTTTGGCTTGAATGCCTCTAGGGTTGGGGGCCCCACTGCTCAGTGGACAGCTGCTGCACTCAGTGCCCTTCACGCCCCAGAACACCCTGAGCGCCTGGCGGTGGGCCACGCCTGCACAGCCCTGGACGGCGTGCGGCCGGGGGGCGTGTCCGCACACCCTGGCATCTCCCTGGCCCTGCCATTTGGGACACATCGGGGTGGCCGATACCCTGTCAGTGGAAGCACCATGGGGAGTGCTGCCTTCCAGGGGTGGAAGTAAAGACCCTGCGATGATGGGACACCACCCCATCCCTCCCCGTCCCTGAGGCACGGGGGCAACAGGTCCAAGGACCTGCGAGAGGGGAGGCAGCAGTTGGGCTCCAGCCCATCTCCAGCCGCAGGAGGCCCACTGCCCAGGGGCTCCTCCCCGCTGACCCTGACCTTCTGTCGCCTCTCAGCAGCCTGCCCAGCCCTCCACCCAGATGGCTCCCTTGCAGGTGGGTCCTGTCCTGAGGCAGGTGCTCTCGCTCCCCACCCCCACCTGTCCCCCCTCCTCTCGGGCCCCTAGGAAAGGGCCTGGGGACAGTACAGGGCATCAGGCAGGCAGGCTCACACCTTTACAGGAGGCACCTCAAGGTTCACAGTCTAGGTTACTGAGGCTTGTGCAAGGTCACTGTCCAAGGCAGGGCTGGGCAAACTTTTTGACTCGAGGGCCACAATGGGTTCTTAAACTGGACCGGAGGGCCGGAACAAAAGCATGGATGGAGTGTTTGTGTGAACTAATATAAATTCAAAGTAAACATCATTACATAAAAGTACGGTCTTTTTTTTTTTTTAGTTTTATTCATTTTAAACGGCCGGATCCGGCCCGCGGGCCGTAGTTTGCCCACGGCTGGTCCAAGGCCATAGCTAGGACTCAGTGGGGCAGAGGCCAAGCGGGAGCCCTGGGCCCTGTGCAGCCCCCCTGAGCCACTGCTGACCAAGCTCTGGGCGGGGAGAGGGGCCACCCAGTCACCTGGCGAGTGTGAGACCCTCCCACGGCTGACACGTGGCCGCAGCTGTGGCCAGGCGGCTCTGCCGAGCGGGGTGGTGAGGTGGTGTCAGCAGGTACAGGGAGGGGAGCCCGTCCTGTCCTGATGGCTGAGTCTCTCTGGGGTCTCCCGGGAGTGAGCAATGAGGCTGCGCCGTTCAGACCCCGAAGCAGGGCAGGCCCACCTGTGACCGGAAGTGGGGCCAGGCGGGCTGTCACTCCTGTCCGCTCCCACCTGAGCGCTGAGCACCCAGTGGGGAGAGCTGCACGCTCACTTGGTACGCTCAGCACTGGAGGAGTGGCAGGTGCTCTGAGTGGCTAAGTCCGGTGGGTGGTGAGACTGCTGGGCATCCGTGACTGCGGGCCGGGTCAGACAGCGCCCTGGGGCGGCCGAGTCAGCAGCAGGAGGAAGGTGGGCACACCCCATTTTGGCGCTGAGCTCTCGGCCTTGGGTGTCCTCTATGGCTCCCTGCCCTGCACCCTGACACCTGCTTTTCTTTCTCTTCGCCTCCCACCTGTCTGTCCCTGGGTCTCCACCGTGGCCCTGCAGGCTTTGACCTCATGGCGGCCTTTGGGCTTGTGGAGCGGGAGTATGCCTCCATCCGCGGGGTGGCCATGGAGCCCTCCGCGTTTGGCTCGACCAGGACCTTCACACTCTTCAGGGACGCTCAGCTGACACGCCGAGCCAGGTGGGCGAGCAGGCGGTGGGCTGAGACCTGGGTGTGGGCACAGCATCGTGACACTGGCTGGGATGGAACGGCCTTCGGTCCTGGGCGGGGCAGAGCCTCGCCCTCAGAGCGCCTCTGGTTGAATCTCCCCACAGCCCCGGAGGGAGTTCTGTCCCTTACACCCGGTTATGCGTGGGGAAACTGAGGCAGGAGAGATCTTGGTCCCATGGGTCTGGGCCCTGAGGAATAGCTGTGGCCCCTCCAGACCCCATCCCTCTCAGGCCTGTGGTGACCCCAACCTGTGCCCCAACAGCGACATCCACCCGGCCGCCCTCCCGCCTGAGCACACAGTCGTCTTCCTCCTGCGCCTCCTCCCCGAAACGCCCCGCGAGGCCTTTGCGCTGTGGCAGATGACAGCCGAGGACTTCCGACCTGTCCTCGGGGTCCTGCTGGACGGTCAGTTGGGAGGGCGAGTGGGGGGGGCAGGCTGTCCCTAGAAGCCTCACCGGCTGATAACCCTGAGCAGATCCTCCAGACTAGGCCGAGAGCGCTGATGCCCATCAGGAGGCAGGGCTGCTTTCCACACTGGCCTTGCCCCCCCACGTGGGTGGGTGGGGTCTCACTCGCTCCTCGCCCTGCCCCGCAGCAGGCAGAAAGTCCCTGACCTACTTCAGCCACGACCCCAGGGCGGCCTTGCAGGAGGTGACCTTTGACCTGCCCGAAGTGAGGAGGATATTCTTCGGGAGCTTCCACAAGGTCCTGGAAGGTTCCAGATAGACCAAAGCCTGTGCCTCACCTGCCTGAGAGCCTCCAATGCCCCCCATGTTCTGGAACAGACTCCCCTGGGCTGTGCAGGATGTGCCCCACCCCCAGCAGCAGCCTCCGTGGCCACGCTGGAGCTCTCCTTGCTGGGGGCCACCTTGGCCCGTCCAGCCTCTGCCCCTGCGGTCCCCTCCGCCCCAGCATCCTGTGGGGCCCCATCCTTAATTTGGGTTGAAGAGCATCCCAGCCCTTTTCTCTGCTCCTGCAAATCCTAGAAGGGCCCGAGCGGGTGCATTTCGTCCATTTCACAGAGGGGAAACTGAGGCCCAGGAGGGGGTGGGGTCCCAGAGACTGGGGGTGGGGTGGGGTGGGGCCCCCAGTGATGGGTACTTCCTCCCACCTGGCCAGGGCTGTGGGGAAACTCTGTGGTGTCTCGCAGGTGCACGTGGCCGTGGGACACTCCAAGGTCCAGCTCTACGTGGACTGTAGGAAGGTGGCCGAGAGGCCCATTGGGGAGGCGGGCAGCCCTCCCGCCACCGGCTTCATCACGCTGGGGAGGCTGGCCAAGGCCCGGGGCCCCCGGAGCAGTTCGGCTGCGGTGAGCCTCGGCTTCGTCCTGCCTGGCCACTCAGGGGCCGGCAGATCCCCAGCCCCTCCTGTCTGAGCCACATCTGGCCAACCGAGCTCCTGCCCTGACTTGTAGCTGCAGCTCCAGATGCTGCAGATCGTGTGCAGTGACACCTGGGCGGAGGAGGACAGGTGCTGCGAGCTCCCTGCGTCGGTAGGTGGGCAAGTGCCACAGGGTCTGGGGGTAGGCTGGCTGTCCCGGTCATCGTGGTGCTGGGAGAGATCTGGGCAGGCTTCCTGAAGGAGGTGGCTTCTGGGGAGCATCTTGGAGGCCCTGGGGACAAAGCAGGCTGGAGCTGGCCAGAAGGTCCCAGCTGCAGGGTGGTCAAAACCCAGCACTCAGGGCCACGCCCCTTTTCTGTGACTTCCCCATGTACCATGCCGGGCTTGGCCATGCTGGGGCCTGCGTGGCAGTGAGAGAGGGTGTCCTGCCCCGGGGTGTGTGCTGGGCAGCCTGGGGTCAGCCCCCAGGATCAGGTCCCCTCCCCTCCCCCGCAGCCTCCCAGGTGTCAGACAAGATCTGGGAGAGGGTCCATTTAACGATGGGTCTCCTTTCTTCTAGAAGAACGGAGAGACCTGTCCTGCCTTCCCTCCCGCCTGCACCTGCTCCTCGCAGATACCTGGGCCCCCGGGACCCCAAGGGCCTCCAGTGAGTCCAGCGGCCCCTCCCCGGCAACATCTGCTGCCACTGGCAGATGAAGGTGGCTCCTGCCGCGCCCCTTAGCTGGGAGCCTGGACCGAGCAGCCTTCCCCAGGCCTGCCGCACCCTGAAATGCTGCCTGTCACCCCCAACCATGGGGCCCCTCCTGGCAAGCCCCTTCCTTCCCCGGCCCCTCTTCCCAGCCAACCCCCCCTCCTCTGGTGTGGGACCTAGCATGTCCCATCTTTCCTGACTGGGGTGGAGTTCCAGGACCATCCGGCCTGCAGCAGGGTCGTGACCCCCACCTGGGGCAGGTCCAGCCCCTCTGCACCCCCTGAGGGAGGCTCCAGGGCCGGCTGCAGTGGGAAGGCAGGTCTGTGAGCACTGGCTGTGTGCTCTTGGTGCAGCCCTCCCCAGAGAGGCCGCCTGCCCCGAGGCTGCACAGTGGCCGCACCCGGAAGCCCCTTCCCTTTCCCCGAGGGCAGGACTGGAACCCAGGGCCATGCTGGGCTCAGCCCTGCCTATGCCCCTGCAGGGCCTCCCTGGCAGGAATGGAGCCTCAGGACAGCAGGGCTTCCCAGGACCCAGGGTAAGTCCTGGGGAGTCCTGGGGGGGCCTGGATCCTACCTTCCTGGGGAGGACCCCCAGCACATTCACAAGAGCACAGGGGGGAGCCCACGTGGTCCACCAGCCAGGGGGCTCCCCCCAGGAGCGAGGTGCCTCCCCAGGAGGGCCCAGCTCCCCACCCAGGGTCTTGGCGGCCAGTGTGACAGGGAAGGTGGCCCACATTGTACGCGGCTTGGGAGTGACTGTTTTGTGAAAATGGCGCGTCCCTGGCGTCGCTGGTTTGCTGATTTTCACACTCACACTCAGAAAATTCGTTTTTTTCTTCATGGAGTTTGGTGCATTGATATGCTTAATTCACAAAAAATGATTTCAAAGCATTTTTCCATGCAGTCTCAGTTTAAATAGTGTTGGTGTCGTCTGCCCCTTAGAGGTTTGGTTTACGGTGTAGTGAGGTGACCGGTGTTTGGGGTTTCTTTACTCCCCATCTCTGGGACCTGGAGAGGCGGCCCAGGCCCAGTTCCTGGCTCTGGAGTAGGGTCGCAGCAGGAACCCCCCAGGTGTGGCCGTGGGTTGAAGACCTCTGTGAACCTGGTCTGGATGCCACAGGCCGGCTAGAGGCAGGGTGCTACGGGACCGGGGGAAGGGGGGGACTGCAGGAGCGGCCTGGTGCCTTCTCAACACCCCCCCGCACCCGTGTCTCCAGGGAGAGCCCGGGCCACCTGGACAGACCGGACCCAGAGGTCCTGGAGGTCATCAGGGGTCACCAGGGACCCAGGGTCGAACTGTCCAGGGACCTGTGGTAGGTGTTGCCTCCCTTCCCTCCCCCACTGCCACACCCCCACTGCCCCCGGGCCCCTCAGTCTTCGCCCTGGGGCTCAGTCTATATTTCCCCTCCAGGGTCCACCAGGGGTCAAAGGAGAGAAGGGGGACCATGGACTCCCGGGCCTGCAGGTAGTGGGCGGGAGGGTCTCGGGGACAGGGCCTGCTCTGGGTCCGACTTGGCCCCAGCCTCGCCAGCACCTCTGCTCTCTTCCAGGGCGACCCCGGCCACCAGGGCGACCCCGGGGAGGCGGGCCTCCAGGGTCCGAAGGTGGGAGAGAGGCCCGCTGGGGAGGGTTTCGAGATGGAGTCTGTGGGGTGGGGTTTCCCCTCTCTCTCACCCCACTCCCATCCATCCTGCCCCCACCCGTGGCCTGGCCAGAGGGGAGGGGAAGGCCAGCCCATGCAGGGTGGGGTCAGGCCCTGAACTTGGCCAGCTCACTGCTCTCAAAGTGAGGCACAGGGGTGCACCCCTTCCCAGGTGTGGGCTGCCGTGGGAGGAATGTGTGGGGTCCGAGCCCCCCTCCAACCCGCCCTTCCTTGGCCATCAGGGCATGAGAGGCCTGGAGGGCACCGCTGGCCTGCCCGGACCCCCTGGACCTAGGGTAGGCACCACCTCCCCCGTGAGCCCAACCCTGCCCATCCCTACCCACACCCCCTGAGGTTCCTTGGGGCTGAACTGAGCGTGGTCACCCCCACAAGGTGACCTGGGAGTCCTCACTCTGCTGGGCCAGCCCTTCCTGGGCCCTGCCGGGCATGCAGTGTCCTGTGCCCTGGAGGGCTGCTGGAGAGGGGCTTTCTCACCCCGCTGGGCAGCCCCAGTCACGCCTGCACCCCAATTCCACATCGCAGGGAGATGCCAGGGCTCCCGGTGGGCCTGGCTGGGGATGCGGCCCCAGGCCCTTCTCCCTGCCTACTGGAGGGCTGGGGACCCTCCTCTCTCAGAAGCACCTTCCCTCCCCAGCTGGCCATTCCTGGGGTCCCTGCTGAGCTCAGTGCCTGGGAGCTGCTCTGAGCAGGGGTCCTGGGCTGCGTGCCCAAGCTGCCCATCTGGGTGGACATGAGGCACGGCCTGCAGGAACAACAGGCCTGTGGAGCTGGGGACAAGCCGTGGGGTCTGGTCTGGGTTCAGGACAGTGGGGACCGAATGACCAGGCCAGGGCTAGAGGGAGGAGGGGCCAGACTCGCTGGGGGCTGCAGTCTGCGACCTCTGCGTCTCGGCAGGGCTACCCGGGCATGGCGGGAGCCAGGGGGACCAGTGGGGAGCGAGGACCCCCAGGGACTGTGGGGCCCACGGTAAGTCCTCTCCACACCTGGACAGCCCAACAGACGGTGGGGGGAGGGGCACACATGTGCAAAGTCAGCGTCGCTGATGCTCAGGGGCATCCTGCGCCCACACACGTGTGAAGTGAGGCCCGTGCAGGCAGTGACGCTGGGGCTGGTCTGCAGCAGGGAAAGTGGGGGGACCCTGCCAGGCCCAAGACAGGCAGGTGGGGGGCAGGTGATAGGCCTGTGGGCTCCAGGGGGCGGGGAGGGATGGGGTCCCAGCAGGTTCCTGGAAGCCAGGAAGATGGAGGCAGGGGCGGCAGGCGAGCAGGGACAGGGATGTGCTGTGTGCAGGCCTGGCTGGCTCAGGCCGCGGGGGCTGTTCTGGGGGGTGGGGGTCCCAGCCGTGGGCACCGAACCCATCTGAGAGGCAGGTCTTTTGCCCGCTGGGGATTCATGCCTCCGAGCCTCCAAGGAGCAGAAATTGTGCCCACCCTGTGGGGGCTTGAATGCCTGGTCTCCCTCCCCAGGGACCGAGCCCCACGCTGCGAGGGGTCAGGGCTGCCGGGGTCAGGAGGGGGAGG